TCAGGTCATTAAAGATGGCATATTTTGGCTTTAATATTGATTCACTTATATAGGGTCTTTGCATCGGAAATAAACACATTTATTCTAAACCCAGTTGTTGGCATGATACGGGTTATGTTCTTCTCATATATTTTATGATGGTATGATACTAAACCCCTAACGGGAGGGATTGTGCTTGATATTCATATGATCAAGACATAATCTTTCGATCAGTTTAATTGAGGTCTGGAGCTGGCATGTCAGTAACTGCTAGTAGTCCTTTGTTAATTTATATATCATTGTCATTTTGTTTAGTTTCTTTTGTTACCTATTCTGACATCGGACTCGTGCTTCTTTTAAACTGAGTTTTACTGTGCGTATTGCTGTGTGTTTGTTTTTTCTACATTGGCTAGAAGTATAGGGGGAGGGTTGAGATCTCAAAACATGTTTAACCCCACCGCATTTTTGCGCCTGTCCCAAGTCAGGAGCCTCAGGCCTTTGTTAGTCTTGTATGATTTTTAATTTTAGTTTCTTTTATATATTTCGGAGTTTAGTATGACGTCCATTATTACAGAACTAGTACATATTTTTGTTTAGGGGCCAGCTTAAGCACGCCTCCAGGTGCGGGATTTTCTCGCTGTATTGAAGACCAATTGGTGGCCTTCGGCTGTTTTCTGCTCTTTGGTCGGGTTGTTGTCTCTTTGACACATTCCCCATTTCCATTCTCAATTTTATTATGACATATTATTATATACTATTAGTAAAGTCCATTCAAACTTAAAAGTTTCGCTGTTTATACTACTTCTCAACACAGAATTACTGAATGATATATTTTCCCAGAAAGGAGTTTGACCTGTCATTGAACTCCATCAGATTCTATAAGATCCAACTAAAATATATTAAATATTGTAACTCATATTCCATTATAGTTCCCAAAACTATCAGATACAAGAAAATTTAGTCATGTTAAATAAAACTGCGTTGTAAATCAATACCTATTCTGTACATAGTTCCATCTGATTGTAGGCTCTGAAATATCAGTCATTTCTTATAATGAAGACATTTATTCTTAATTATATAGTTTAATGAACAGAAAAATAGACATACGAAAACCAGATAGTATGAAAATTGTTCGAGTTTATATAATTACTTGTATTCTGTTTTTCAAAGCTCTAATATAACATTGTAGTAAATTAGATAATACGGTAATATGCCATCTGGTGCTGTTTTATATCGCTATACTAAGAGGCTATCTGACTTTTGTTAAGTTCCTTTGTGAACTAACTAAGCTAATTAGTAAATATTCAGGTGTTTTTAGTAATTTAAGGAGGATGTTATTCTTGTATTATCCTTGACTAAGAATTGCTGTTTAAAAAGAAATACAAGTTAACAAGACCAACCCAGAGGTCCCAAAATATGCCTGATGGCTTTTTGGTTTTGGTTTGGTCAGACAATTTTATTGCCAATTTTCTGACCAAATTTCAAACAAATCTTTTAAATTTTTTTTATGCGATCTCCATATATCTGCCAGGCAAATTATATGTTGGTAAGGCAAAATTTTTCATTTGCCTGACCAGATGTCAGACACAAATTTCAAACTTTCGAGAAGACTGCTAACCCATGCAGTCACATTTTCATGTGTCTGTTCAAAGGCAGGAGACAATATGTTGACCTCCAGATGATTTTTTTGCCCCGCGTCCGTCCGTGCGTCACGAAATTGGTTTCCATTCTCAAACTTAATATAAATAAGAAGATGTGGTATGAGTGCCAATGAGACAACTCTCCATCCTAGTCACAATGTGTTAAAAGCTAAGTTTGCCTCAACCAAATGTTATGAAAGTTATACACAATGCTAATTACCACAGAACACAGATCAAATTTGAATTTTTGTTTTTTCACTTTTACCGTTCTAGAGTTATGCCCCTTTACATAATACAAATGGAAAAATTGCTGAATTTAAGTTTGCCTTAACCAAATGTTATGTAACTTATACACAATGCTTATTACCACAAAACACAGTTCAAAAAATTCATGCTATATTGTTTGAAAGTGATGCTATCTGAAATGAGTTTCTGATAGATTGGGTTATTTATTGTGATGCTATAATTTCTAGAAACAAGGTGGTATTTCAAAATTCATTATTTATCAGGATGCTGTATGAAGTCATCTGTAACACTTTTCTCTTCGCTTTATTCAAACTTTGCACACTGATACCACACATATTGAAAATGTGCATCTACAATTAAGAATAGATTTCGTCAGTTGTCTCATATACATGGAACTTTAATAGTCTTTTTTGTCAGTGAGTGCTAATGTCATGTATAGTTGGTACATAGTTTCTCTCATCTGTAATTCAACAGTTTTACATTTTTGACTAGTTAATGAAAAAAATAGTGTAAGGTTTACATCATATACTGCATGTTAAGTTCTAAATAGTCTCTGTAAATTAATCCCCCCCACCCCCATCCAAAGTCCTTTGTTCCAGGAAATTATATTGGGAATGTGATTAATATGATATGTTATAATATTGACTATTCTGACCCATACATTCCCGAACCTAATTGTTACGAATGAATCTGATGATCTATGTAAATATTGGAATGTAAAGTTCACTTTACTTTGGTTAATGATTTAATCTTCACTATATCGTAAATGCAGTTTTTCACTGAAGAATACCACTGAAGTACATTTAGAATAAATTGAATTGCCTGTTATGGGTGAGTTTTAATGATAAAGTACATTATCGTATTAAGCTAACTACATCGTATCTCTCGATATAATGGACCACTTCATCATTGACAGAGTTGAAAGTAAAAGTAATTGTATCCGTATTTGTCAATATCGGATAGATATCTGAGAAAACAGAGGATGTTTAACACGTTGTAGTATTGACTTGACTTTCATTGATTTGAATAATTTCACCACAAATGGCACAATTAGTCAAGAATTTCCCAAAAGTTGGATATTATGAATAATAATTTGATGATAAAGTCATTCACTAGGGACCCATAAAGCACAAATTGATTTGTCTTAAGAATATTTTTGGTTAGAAGTAACTTTTTGTAAAGATAAGAGAATAAAACAAGGAACAGGGCTTAACAATCTTTTATAACATAATGGTATATCCTTAGTTTTAAAGTCAATGATACTCACTGTGTGACCTTCTATTAAGAGTTCAGTGACAAAATAAGACTTTCATCTGTTTTAATACTTTTACCATTATCTCCAAAGAATTATTCATTCTAGCACCAATTTTCACAGCCCCTTATTTCACATTTATGTGAGCAGGTCTAATAAAAAATACCTGTGTTTCAGCTAACTTACTGAAAAAAAGTTAGGGTAGGTAGGTAGGCAAATGATATTATTTTTTTAAATGTTTTTTTAAATGTTTTTTTACTGAATTAATCAGGGTTAAGAGTCACAGTGAGACTTTGATAGTGCTTGTTCAAAAATTTAGGGTATGTAGGAATATTGGAAACAAATTTGTTTTATTAGGCATTAAATGGCCTCTGTGGCAGGGTTGAAATTAGTATACACCAATGCAAATTCCATCCTTTCATCCAGGTACATAAAATCTATATCATGGTTGAATGATTGTTGCTTACTCAATGTTCAGTGGCAAATATTTCAGGCATATTCAGGATGAGAACAACTTGATAATTAATACAATAGGCAGGTTCTGCTAGGTACTTTGACCTGGGCATATTACACATATACAACAGGTTTCAGTAAAAAGGAGGGATGATATTCTTACCAACAATCCCACCCTTTAAATCTATTACTAAACTTTAAATGAAATATGCAGGCTGATATTTGGAAGAACTTTTAAATTGAAAAAACTCAGGGAGGTCTGAATGATTATCATTCATCATAAAAAATCCATTTGTATATAGATAAAAATACATTAAATATCATGACTCATAAATTATCCTGTTCATAAATTTGTAAACAAAAACCCTTATTTATAACAGTCATAAATGAAATGAAATATGAAATATAACATTGTAAAATAAAACAATCATAAGTGCAATTAAAGAAAGAGCTCTGTATTTGACAAAGAATTTAATAAATTTGAAGAATGTTGCTGAAGCATGGTGTAAGTTCATACGTGTTTAAATTAACATGATTTTTCCCTCTGCTCAGTAAATCATGGTTGGAAAAAGGGGGGGCTTAACAGCAAAAAGTATACATTTATATTCTCTACACGGGTGTCAACTTTCTCACTGGTTTCACTGGTTAAATTATCTCAATTGTTGTGCCAGTCATGCTATTTCATATTAATGCAATAAACATTTAAAATATTGTGCTATTGTGGAATCATTATTATTTGTGAGATAACAATTTTCATGAAATTCGTTGGTATAAATTTGTTAACCACAAATTTAAATGTTCAACTAAGTACACATTTTATAAAGGCTTGTATTCAGACTTTTGCAAATCCACTATTTCAAATATCCACCAAAACTACAAGTTTTCCTCAATCCAAGAAAAAATTGTATCCAGTGAAAATAAATGAATCAACAGTATTCTACCTCATGGCTGTACATTGGTCATACTATCTCGCTGATTATACTGGTCAAACTATCTCGCTGGTTTTACTGGTTACTGTACTGGTCTGACTATCTCATGACTGTTCATTGGTCATACTATCTCGTTGATTATACTGGTCAAACTATCTCACTGGTTTCACTGGTTACTGTACTGGTCTGACTATCTCATGGCTGTACATTGGCCATACTATCTCTTATATACTCATGTCAAACAGTTAACTATCTCAATTGTTGTATTGGTCAACTATCTATATCTTGCTTTATTGGTCAAACTTTCTTACAAACTGTATTGACTAAACTATCTCAGTGTCTTTTGTCAGTGGCAGTCTTGGTCAAACTATAGATCTGCTGTTGATTTAACTATATGTTCTGTATGTATGAACAATAGATTATTTAATAAACATCAATGACTAGCACTTCTATCTATAGAACTTTTTATCTATAGCAATAATCCATATCTTTATTTTACAGCATGCCCTCCTTAGGATGTGTATTGGTTATGATAGGTGTGGAATTGAAGCTGATGTATTGATGGTCAATCTGCCAGGTAAGGTCACTTCCATATTACTTATACTTTCTTGCTAATTGTACATACATATTGTGTTGTACATGTGGTCTGAAATTAGATTTTTTTTTCAGATTTTTTATAGTTTACAATCAAAACATTTGTAAAATTGAATATACTGAATATACTACAAGTCATAATAACTTTTTAAGTTTTAAAGCTTTTTTGAAGTATTTTTAAAGGTTTATTCTTTTATGTAAGTACATAGGATTATATATTTTTAATGTTTATTGCATTCATATGAAGATTTATGTGAAGAAAGATTTTCCAGTCAGATAAACAAAGTATTGGATTGTAACCATGTTAACAATTAATTAGCACTTGATCATGAAAGATCTTCATCAGATATTGATTTTACTGTCCATTTCTTGACCCACAGAGACAAGGAATATTAAATGCCTTTATAATACATCTATACTGGACATCAACAAATATAAAATCTAAGTGAAAGAGGTAGGGCTAATTTTCAATCATTTTCTAAATTTACTTTCTCTCTCAAAAAAGTATTTCAATTTTTCTATTTATCAGTTTTACCATGTTGAAATGTGTGCTTTTGAGGTTCATACAAAATTGTTGCATTTTTATAAAAAAAATATTTCAATAAATACAAACCAAATCATAAATATGTCTGTGTAGCATAATTAGACTTGCTACTGACTATACCTTCTGAACTAGCTGGCTCAGCATGTGGGTCTTGTACAGAGCAAGGTTCATACTCATGTCACATTAACATGCTCCTGTTCTGATATGCTTGTAATACTTGACACTATTTGTTATTACCAGTTTCCTGATCCAGCAATTTTAACAAACAGTGCATGGATGAACCCTCAAAGAACTTTTATCATTGAATGCTTTCCTCTATTTCAACTTTCTTTCTAGATGGATAGGTCTAGGGCATATCTTTTAGTACTAAAGTACAATAGTAAGTTCACCTTCACCTTCACATTATAAAGTTTTGTCTCCAACATGGTCAAATCTGACCTGTGACCTTGGGGGGTTGGGATTGACAGGCAACTGTGCGACCTGACATCTTTTAAAAGAACCTGTGACCTTTAAAATTTTCAAAAAGAATCAGAACTTTTTAGTTTGCGAACTTTTTAGTTTGCTTAAAAGTGATCTGGTGACCTAAGGCAATTTGTAGACATAACCGTGTGACGTAAGGTGTACCCCACTGGAGCCTCTAAAATGCGAGAAATAAATGGAAATTTAAATCATTTTTTATCCCTCTACTACAAACCTGCTAATAGAAATGAAGATTTGAGCTAGAAAAGAGGGAGAAGTTTTCTACTCTTTGATATCAGCAGTTGTGTTTATATCCAGTCTTTTATTTTATGATTTGAATAATATTTAGTATGATGACTTCCTTAATTGTTATATAGTGTTGAAAGAATTTTGTTGTCATGTAAGCAGGTTGCAGTGTGAATACTTTGAATGATTCGATATGACGTATAAAATCATAGACAAGGTTTTGTATGTCAACCCTCAAGACATGGGTTATCTAGAGTCTCCAAATTTAAAAAAATAAATAACAAGAATGTGTCCATAGTACACGGATGCCCCACTCACACTATCATTTTCTATGTTCAGTGGACCGTGAAATTGGGGTAAAAACTCTAATTTGGCATTAAAATTAGAAAGATCATATCATAGGGAACATGTGTACTTAGTTTCAAGTTGATTGGACTTCAACTTCATCAAAAACTACCTTGACCAAATACTTTAACCTGAAGCAGGACAGACGGACGAACGGATGGATGGACGAACGGAATCGCTCAGACTGAAAAACATAATGCCCCTTTACTATCGTAGGTGGGGCATAAAAACACTATATGTGCATTCACCTGGTCTGTCCATTTTGCTGTTTGTCCAAAAATTATTTTGTTTATATTTTTTCTTAGGTACTACTGAACTGAATGACTTTATATTGAGTCTGCAGCTTGACAATAATGAATTGTATTGTGTGACCTTTTTGATGATCTGTCAGACATCTTCTTCCTGTATGCAGATATTTTGAACTTTTCAATATGTTGAACACGTTGAATGTTATAAAAAAAGTTGTCACAATTCTCTCAAGTACTAATGAACAGAATGACTTTATATTTGTTGCAGTGTGAGCACTTTTCAGATCAGTCAGACACTTCATGTTTTCTGATCCTTTGAATTATGAGTGGAGGTCTTTGTTTAGCAATGACATCCCATGTTATCGTTTTGGAATATCAGTTTAGTTGCTGTCACCTAAATGTACAACCCTTATGATGGCTTATCTGTTTTATGAGAATTTCTCACTGTAAAAATAAAAGATACAATGAATACTATTATAAAATCTTAGGTAGTTTTTTTGTTCATTTGTAGAACGTGAGGAAATCAATTTTTTTTTTGCAGAAATAGTTAATTAAAGTAAAACATACATGAATTTTTATTCAATTATCCAAAGTTTTGACCCATGATTGAAGATGCAACACACATGTGCACATCTTACACAGATAGAAGGGGGTTTGAGTACAACAAGACATATCATCACACGTCAATTATCTGTAATCAGAGATACAATCAGTACTTAATTAACAGTAAACATACTCTGTAACCTGTGTGGTGCAGATCAATTATTCCTTCCTGCTAATCTGATGTCCATATCTTAATAAAATCAACTCTCAACGAATTTTATAGTAGATGATGTTGCTCATTCTCCATATTTCTATACAGTGGTTTGTCTTTTTTTCTGTTTTTGAGTTTTTGTTTGCCAATGGTGGTGGCTACAAAATGGTCAAATTCTACCAGCAACCTTGAACCTTGGGGGGAAAGGGGGGGCAACCTTGCGACCTGATGACATCTCATTTAAAAGAACCGGTGACCTGTTAAACATAAACCTCTCAAATTGGAGACATTTCCCATTTCCCAGTTATTTTTATACGACCGCAAAAAAAATTTTGTGGTCGTATATTGGTATGACGTTGGCGTCGTCGTCGTCGTTGTCGTTGTCGTCGTCGTCCGAAGACACATTGGTTTTCGCACTCTAACTTTAGTTTAAGTGAATGGATCTCTATGAAATTTTACCACAAGGTTCAATACCACTAAAGGAAGGTTGGGATTGATTTTGGGGGTTATGGTACCAACAGTAAAGGAATTAGGGGCCAAAAAGGGGCCAAAAATAAGCATTTTTGTAACTTCCAGACATAACTTGTGTGTTAGTGTATGGATCTCTCTGACATTGTGCCACAAGGTTCCATATCACAAAAGGAATGCTGGGATTGATTTTGGGGGTAATTGCCTCAAAATTGTAGGAATTAGGGGCCAAAAAAGGGGCAAAAAACAAGCATTTTTCTAGTTTCATGACAATAACTTGTGTGTAAGTGTATGGATCTTTCTGAAATTGTACTACAAGGTTCCATATCACAAAGGGAAAGCTGGAATTGAGTTTGGGGGTAATTGCCGAAACGTTTAGGAATTGGGGGCCAAAAAGGGGCCAAAAATAAGCATTTTTCTAGTTTCCAGACAATAACTTGTGTTCAAGTGTATGGATCTCTCTGAAATTGTACTGCAAGGTACCATGTCACAAAGGGAAGGCTGGGATTGATGATGGGGGTAATTGCCTCAATATTTTAGGAATAAGGGGCCAAAAAAGGGGCAAAAAACAAGCATTTTTCTAGTTTCAGGACAATAACTTGTGTGTAAGTGTATGGATCTTTCTGAAATTGTACTACAAGGTTCCATATCACAAAGGGAAAGCTGGGTTTGAGTTTGGGGGTAATTTCCCTAAATGTTTAGGAATTTGGGGCCAAAAAACACATTTTTCTAATTTCCAGACAATAACTTGTGTTCAAGTGTATGGATCTCTCTGAAATTGTACTGCAAGGTACCATACCACAAAGGGAAGGCTGGGATTGAGTTTGGGGGTGATGAATCATAAGGGGGTTCAAAAAATTTGGGGGGGATTTTTTTTTTTTCCTTTTTTTTCTTTTTTTTTTCTTTTTCTTTTAAAATTTTCCATTTTAAGTTGGTTATTTCTGATTTATATTTAAAAGCAAATAATAATGATATGGTAGGAGATACACACCAAACAGGATGTGTAAATAATTATATAATAAGTATTGTGCAATAGCAAGAAATTTTCAATTGCACAGTATTGCACAATAGCAAGAAATCTTCAATTGCACGTACAGTATTGCGCAATAGCAAGAAATCTTCAATTGCACAGTATTGCGCAATAGCAAGAAATATCCAATAGCACAATATTGCGCAATAGCAAGAAATTGTCAATTGTACAGTATTGCGCAATAGCAAGAAATATTTAATTGCACAGTATTGTGCAAAAGAAGATACTTCTTATAAATTGCTTATTTCTTGACCAATTTCAATGGGGTTTTATTCTTTGTTTGATTTCAACAAAAATTGAATATATGGGTTCTTTGATATGCTGAATCTAACAATGTATTTAGATTTTTGATTTTTGGGCCCCGTTATCAACTTTGTCCACATTGAGGTCAAAAGGGTCCAAAATTAAACTTTGTTTGATTTCATCAAAAATTGAATTCTTGGGGTTCTTTGATATGCTGAATCTAACCATGTATTTAGATTTTGGATATTGGACCATAATAGGTGAATGTCCAATTTAAAATTAACCACATTCATTCTGTGTCAGAAACCTATGCTGTGTCAAATATTTAATCACAATCCAAATGCAAAGCTGTATCAAGCTTGAATGTTGTGTCCATACTTGCCCCAACTGTTCAGGGTTCGACCTCTGCGGTCGTATCAAGCTGCGCCCTGCGGAGCATTTTATTGTTATTTCTTTTATTTTGTCTTGCTATTGACACTCTGAATACTAGTCTTGAGATGGCTTTTTTCTCCCATTGCCTGAGCACCATGAGCAAGTCTCCAAAAAGGCTGTCAAATGTCAGAGCAGTCTCGGACAGATGGAACTTAAGGGCATTGCACTATTTGATCATAGTCTCCCTCTACAGAAGACAATATTATTTTAAATCTATTTGAATAAATGTGAACCAAAGTCATTCTTATATTGATATAGTTATAATGATGATTTCAGCTTCTTGATTGTGGACTTTCCATTCTTATGTAGCAACATTCCAGCAGCGCCTGAATATGGAGAATATATCTCCCAGTTGATAAGATATTCCAGGGCTTGCATTTTCTATCATGATTTCCTTGATAGAGGTTTGCTTCTCACAAGGAAGCTATTAAACCAAGAGTTTCAAGTTGTGAAGTTGAAATATTTCATGCTAAAATTTTATGGATGCCATCATGAGTTGGTTAATCGTTATGGAATATCTGTTTCACAGATGACGACGAATATGCTCCAATTGTATCGAGAATCCCTTCCTCTTTCCCTGAATGTGACCTACCAAATTAGACCTGTCACCGGTTTTGTACTTGCATGAGCGACACAACAGGTGCCACATGTGGAGCAGGATCTGCTTACCCTTCCACATTACCTGAGATCACCCCAGTTTTTTGGTGGGGTTTGTGTTTCTCAGTTTTTAGATTTCTATGTTTTGTTTTGTTTACTGTTGTTTGTCTTTTGGTCTTTTTTCGTTTTTTGCCATGGCTTTGTCAGTTTATTTTCAACTTATGAGTTTGAATGTCCCTTTGATATCTTTTGCCTCTCTTTTATCACGAAATTAAAAATGAAAGTATAGGCCTGTATCCTAGACACTAGTTTAGACATAGACAGAGTAAAAGAGCCTCATTTAATAGCTTTAAATCATTATCATGTTGTATGGGATTGCAAGTCAATCATCCAGGTATGACATATTAAAGGTCAAATTGACTGAAACCTTTGAATGAGAATTGAAGAGGGAATTAGCTTTGAATTTTCTTTCATAACAAACTAATGTTGGCTTATTAAACTTAGCATTAAATCCTCCTGTTAATGTAGAGGTTTCATGACATTGCTGCTAACATATCTCCATTGATTTTGGTCAGGTTCTATTTATTATCAATGATTATCAGAGGTATAGATGAGACCTTTAACCGTAGCTATAATTTTAAGTAAGAATTGCGCTCAACTTGTATTTCTGGAGATGTCCTTAGTTTTAGGCAAACCTCTTGTGACTTGTACACCACTGTGTTATCATTCCATAAGTTATGTATTGGCCTAGTAATATTCATAGAGTTTTTTAATTGTTTTTTGTAGGGGGAATGGGCTTATTAAATCATATTAGTTAGCAATATCATAAGAAATGGATGGAGCCTCTAGTTTTATTTCTAACTGTATCCTTAGTGGTCGATGATACATTGATGCTGCCAAACATTCTGACATTATATAGTAACACAGCCATCAGAAGTTCATTAAGATAATTAAGCTAATTAGTTTTAAAGAGAATTCTCCATGGAGGTCTATGGGAGGTATAAATAAAACACTTTAAAATGCCAGAATATAAATATTTAGTCTATTTTTAGTAACAAAACGTGTTAACTTATTTCATTTATAGATCTGTAACGCTGGAGTTCAATTAATCATGAATAGTAAGTTTCTTTGTTTACATCAGCCATGCTTTATATCTCATAGGTTTTGTAATCATTTTTGTAAGCAACAATGTATGAAGGAAAAAATTGGAGATTAAGGGAAGATGGTTCGTTCTGTAGAGTTCTGTTGGAACTTTGTTAGATTTTTATTTGATTTGAAATTTGAGGTTGACATGGTTGAGGGAAGACAATTGCATGAAAAAAAGTAATTTGACAGAAATGTTTCCAGAATTTTTTTTAAAAAGAAAGAAGGGGGTGGGGGTAGAGGTCCAGCCTAGTTTTGATATATTTTTAGGTGATTAAGATTTACAATTTTAAAAAAAGGTGGATTCCAACCTCCACGGACCTCTAGGAATTTGTCAATGTGGCATGCTGCAAGTCCATCATTATTCGGGGATTTGTTGGACCTTAGATAAACTTTCCATCTCACCCCCTTTCACCTAGTACTTTGATATGATCATAAGGAACAGAATTGAAAGGGTTAGTAGTATACCAACCTGTCTTGAAATATCATAAGTCCAGCTATGAATAGACAAATATAGGTGTTAAAGTGTACATGACTTTCTGACAGTGTTAATTTGACCTTGACCTACATACAAAGAGAAAACTTTTTGTAGTATCATTCTTCATAATAAACCTAACTGCAATATAGCCTTTTTGTGCTGATGCCACATAAAGCAATCACCAATCAATCAATCATAATAAACCATTTAAAAAACAAATTTAGTTATTTGCCATGCTCTAGGACTTTTGGACTAGAATTCTCTAATGGCCCTTGTAAAAAATAACTTCATTCTGAATAGAATTGTTTGAATATTTGATTCTATGATCTTAAGTTGTTAAGATAAGTTTATGCATGAAGAAACTAAAACTTTACCAGAGTTCAAATCAATAGGTTGTCTCTGCAAGACTCCCACACTTTCAAAATATTAACAGTGCCAGAGAAAGCACAAAAAATGTATATCAAGTCACTGACAATTGATTGTCTTTGGCATGAAGATTCACAAATGAAATTTGCTGCTTGAAATTAATAATGACGCACCAAAAGTATTTGACAAATACAGTTGTATCATTGGTAATCAATTAAATATTTAATACATTTTTATAAAAATTTGCGGTCTTATAATACTATGGCAATGTCGTCATCGTCAGAAGACATTTGGTTTCCAGACAATAACTTGAGTATAAATGAATTGATCTCTATAAAATTGTACCACAAGGTTCCATACCACAAAAGAAAGGTTGGGATTGATGTTGGTGGGGGGGTTATTGTCCTAACTGTTTAGGAATTAATGGCCAAAAAGCGGCCAAAAAGAAGCATTTTTCTAGTTTCATGACAATAACTTGTGTCTTAAGTGTATTGATCTCTATGAAATTGAGGTTCCATACCTCAAAAGGAAGGTTGAGATTGATATTGGGGGGGTTATGGCCCAAACTGTTTAGGAATAACATGTACAGTGTAGGGGTAAAAAAACAAGGATTTTCTGGTTTCCTGACAATAACTTGAGTATAAGTCTATGGATCTCTATGAAACTATACCACAAGGTTTCATACCAAAAAAGGAAGGTTGGAATTGATTTTGAGGGTTATCATGCCTTAACTGTTTAGTGAAAAGGGGCCAAAAACAATACTTTTCTTATACTTTGTATAAATTGCTTATTTCTTGACCAATTTCAAAGGGCTTGAATTCTAGGGGTTCTTTAATATGCTGAATCTGTATTTAGATTTTGGATTTTGGGTCCCGTTTTTAAATTGGTCCACATTGAGGTCCAAAGGGTCAACAATAATTGAAATCTTGGGGTTCTTTGATATGCTGAATCTAACCGTGTATTTGGATTTTGTGATTTTTGAATAGTCTTTAGGGCATCTAGTGTAAAGTTTGTATTTTTTGTTCCTGACTAGCATAGCCTGACCAGCATGGCCACTATGGCTACAAATAGAACAAAAGGATAGATTACAAGGAAAAATCTAATATCTTGATCACCATATAATGGATGGAAAAAATCTGATAAGGGCAAACAAATTCCAGAATATCAAGATCTACCTTCAAACAGTTTACTCTCAAATGTCAGGTGAGCAATTCAGGATCTTATGAGCCTCTTGTTTTAAATGCAGTTGTCCACTTGATAGGAATAATTTTTCAATTTGCAATTAACCAGCATGTCATTTCCATTATAGATGAAGTGAAAGACAGAATAAATCAGTGACAAAATGGAGGAAGAAGACATTAATTGGAAGGAAAGATGCTTGATATTAGAGACGTCACTACAGAAATTCAGGGAGCAAGTGACCAAAATCAGAGAAACACTTGGATTCAAGGTAAGCTAGACCCTGTGGATTCATTTATTTTCGTGGAGATCCATTTTCGTGTATTAAGGAAAACTAGTAATCTTTTATGCCCCCGCCGTAGTGTAGGGGGCATTAAATTTTACCCTTGTCGATCTGTACGTCCGTACGTCCTGAAATTGGTTTCCATTCTCTAACTTTAGTTTTCCTCAACCAAATCTTATGAAACTTATACACAATCATCGACAATGCTTATTACCACAAAACACAGATCAAGTTTGAATTTTGGTGGCGTCACTTTTACTGTTCTAGAGTTATGCCCTTTACAAATGGAAATATTGCTGAATTTTTCGTCTTGCTTCTCTAACTTAAGTTTGCCTCAGCCAAATGTTATGAAACTTATACACAATGCTAATTACCACACAATTCAGATCAAGTACGAATTTGGGTAGCTTCACTTGTACAGTTCTTGAGTTATGTCCCTTTATGATAATGATGTTATACGGAAGTGGGGGCATCATCTGTGTCCCATGGACACTTACTTTCCCCATTATTTTATATTTGATTTTGTGGATTTGCCAAAGTTTGTATTCAAGCCTTCATAAAATTAATATGCACTGTGTTTAACATTAAATTTTTGGTTAACCTTTTCCAATGAAATCCTTGAAAATTTGGTATCCCATGAATAATAATGAGTAGACAGTAGATATATATAACCAGTAGAGATAAATGAATCTGATCGAGCTGTGTTTCATCTTTTATGGGCAAAGTATATGTACTTGGGTGGTATTTCGGATTTCTTTAAATAAAACTTTGTGGATAGAAATTCGATAACTTACAATTTAGTTTTAAAAAATACATTTTTGTCACAACGAAAGACACATTTTACACATATCCTATGCATTTAAACTTCTGTCTTTCAGAAAATTTTAATTGACTGTTTCTCTTGAAGTTTAAATTTTACATATATATTCTTTTTCCAATATAGTATGATGCAATTTTTTTTTTATGCACCTCTTTTCGTTTTTTTTTGTCATGGAGTTGATAAGTTTTACATCAAGTTGTGAGTTTTGAAAGTTGCCTTGATATCATCTGCCTCTAATTATTTTCTAAATGCATATGAAATTTCACAGACTGAAATACAGACCAATTACATATACTTTCCTTAATATCAAATTGTAATGGTGAAGTGCTTATAATGGTAAATTTTCAAGTAAATTACTCATTCTGTAAATTAAAGATGATCAAAGATGTTTTAGCTTGAGATGAGATTTTTTTTAGTGTCTTCAGTGTTATACACTTGATTTCTGAATGTTGGTTTTCTTTTGATTTTGAAAATTTTCTGTTTTATTATTCTGTTTGTCATTCCAGAGTTATGGGAATTTTAACAGTCATTTTTTTTGCTTTCTAATATCCCATTTCATTTTTGATGCAGTCTTTCTACATGTTCTATGTAGACACAATTGGTTTCCATGTTAGAGTTTACCCATCATTCCAGAAATCTTATTCCATGATATTCAGTTTCCTGCAAACTTGGTTAGGAATTTACTTCATGCACTGCAATTAAAATTTCCTATTTATTTTGTCCAATCAAGCCTAAAGTATTCTATAAAAAGAATATATGTACATTTCCATGTCACTGTCTGCAATCAGTTTTAATTGTAATGCTTGAGCAAATCTCCTCACATCTTTGTGATTAGAAAAAACAAATGAAACTTTTATTGGACATACTTATTATTGTTCAGGGGGTAATCCACCATAGTGGTTGAAAGAAGTGCTAAAATAATCCATAGCTGTCAGTAATTTGTATGAGACCAAGTCATCTACAAACTTATTGTCCATAAGTCTCTCATTATTTAAAGAAAGATAAAAAACAAAGTAGGGTTTGCTTACTGAACATAGAAATCTTGTGTTTCAACATGGGACTCATCAAATTAGAACAAAGGAAATTTTGAAGATAAGCTCTTTGGTCGAATTGTTGTCTCTTTGACACATTTCCGGTTTCCATTCTCTTTCTAGTAATTGTAGTGTGGTCACAGTTTAGCGTCAAATATAAATTTGAATTCTTTTTCTTATTAAGTAATGAGTTTTTTTATTATAAAGTACTTAATGTTTAATACGATGAGCATCATGGTAATACTGGGAAAATTCTATTTGATAATTGATATTTTTTTGATAATTTGCATATTTAACACTAAACTATTTAGTGGAGTGCTTCCTGTAGAGATCACTGCAGCAAAATGATGTGTAAGGATAGGATGTGATAAGGTCTTTATTTGACTTCATTTTTTACTGAAATATAAGATTCCCTTTTGTGTTTGATTTAAAGTTGAGTTGAAGCAAAATTAAAAACAGGTAGTTTTTTTATGGCTTAGGTCGGGGCCATATAGTGTTACCCTTATCGGTCATTCCGTCATTTTGTCATTCTGTCATTCTGCAACGAACACCTTCACATATTGTGCTGATTTTTCAGTATGTGAATCTACTTTGATGAGTTTCAGATCGAGTTTCAACGTTTGGTTCTGCTCCTCTGATTTTTGCTAAAATTATGGGACTTTGAAAATTTTGTGAAAATAACAGTTATACAGACTTTTTTTCTAAACGCCTTGACATATTGTGCTGATTTGTAGTATGTTAGTCTACTATGATGAATTTCAGATCACATTTGGTTATACTCTGCTGATTTTGGATGAAATAACAGGCTTTGGACTTTGAAAATTTCGTGAAAATAATAGTATACAGACTTTTTTCTAAACACCTTCAAAAATTGAGTTGATGTTTAGTATGCCCATTTACTACGATGAGTTACAGATCTAGTTTAAATTTGGTTTTGCTTCGCTGATTTTTGCCCAAAATTACAGGCTTTGGACTTTAAAATTTCCACTCCTTAGAATGGCTTTAAGCTTTTTTGGTGATCGAGTTGTGCTATTCGTTTCAATCTGACACATCTAGGTTAATTATAATGTCACATTTAATGCAGTTGTTATGTCATAGAAAAGGCTGTTTTACATATTTTGTGAAAAAATCATTGTGAATTTTAATAAATTTTCATATAGTTTTTGAACCTGCAAATATAGAACCCATGAACAAATGAATCATTACAATGTTTGTTTATATGAAAAATGAATTTCATGTTAAATTTTTGTGGTACAAATGTAAATGCATGTGCTCATTTTTTTCCACTAACAAATTTGTGTGATAATATGCAAGTTTTGTCACATTTTTATTTTTGTAGAAAAATAGGAATTAAGCCATCTTTTGACTCTAAAATATCTGTGAAATTTCAGATTTCAAAGATCTCATTGTTTAGATTTTGCACATACTTATTAGTTTTGTTAACTGTACTTTTTGCAAAAATCACCTGATTTTGTAGTACTGTGAAAGTACTTATATTTGTAGGTATCAATTTTCATGGTTTGAGCAAAAATTGTATGTTCGTGGGTTCTTAAATTCGTCGATTTTAGTTTTCTGAAATAAATTGAGTTGAAGAATTTGAAACCATCAGAAAGTTCCAAAAAAATTCTTGAAAAATAATCATATGTGGTTTTAAAATAATTTGTGGGACATTGCAAAATAAGGTGTTCATTTTCACTTTCTTGTTCGTCTTTCAGTGCTGACAACGTTCATCATTTTTTTAATCAAATAATTGCTTTTGGAAATAGGCTGATTCATCTATGCTCACAAATTGTCTGAATTGAAGGAAATTGCAAGGTAAACATCTGAATTGTTGCACACGTGTAATCAGAAGTGATGACACTAATTAACCAATGATCAACAGATTAATGATCATCAGAGGTGTTAAAGCCATCCACGAAAACCACAAAAATAGGTACCCCACGAATAAAAGTATGAACAAAATAAACACAAATCATATTGTTTGGAAAATGGACAAAATATTGTGTTTGTTACAATTGTATAGTCAGCTATTCTGATGCTAGACCAATGAACACACAAATTTTGTTTCAGAGGTACATTTTTTCTAGAATGCAGCTTTATTGATGAAATAAGCTTAAAATGTATTTATAATGTCATTTGATGAATTTGTAAGCACTAAAGGATGGCATATTTTTGAGAACATGTACTTTGTCTTTTACAAAATAGACGCATAGTCATGGGTCTGCTGAGTATGGCTCCAAAATTCATTATCGAGGGAGATTATTGCATAATAATAGATGACTAATACAGCCTATTATTCCCAAGAGTCATTGATATCATCATCTGAAACTCAGCCAGCTATCTTACAGTGCTTTAGTGCTATCTTTTTATCCCCAAAATTTCTCAGATATAAATAGTATTAATTTTTTAAACAGATAACAGATGAAAAAGTTGTTACCTCATTAAAAGTTCAAAGCGGTTTTTATATGAGCACCATATTTCTTTTATCTGCCAAGAAGCCATTGTGTATTGGAATGCCAGATAAATGGGTGACAATCAAAGCTTGATTGAAAACTTATGTGAAAACTACTTAAAATATTGTGTATATATTCTTCATCCTATCGGCAATGCTTAATTGTTCTTCATTAAGCTATGTAGCAGATGAAATACCCACTTTCTGGAATTATTCCAGTTAAAAATCGTGGGAAAATATTCTAAATTGTAAAACCTGCATTTCTGCAGAGGTTACGAGATACAGTTTATATCTAAGAATTAGATAAGATTTATGTTTTTATGCTGATAAAAATCATATGTTAGAATTTACAAGGAAATAATCAGTGGGTGTTGACTGAATTTAATTCCGATTTTAGTTCTGATTTAATGAAGGGCAAGGATGTTGATCTATATTCCTGGGCGAGTTACCAGTGATTTAAAGCATCTTTGTAAGTTATGGTTGTGCTGTGCAAAGACCTTAGAACTACCTACCGGTATAGATATTTTCCTTCTTATTTTTTGGTGATTTATTTATTTTTTTTGATTTGTACCAATTCTACTTTTTCTGTCATTTTTCTCTGGAACTTCAAATCAGGGCATCCTAAAATTTGGTATTAAGCTACATGTGAGCATGCTATACTTGGTAGTATATTGCCAGATTCATCGCTCGTCCTCTTTTTGTTTCCAAATACTTATATTTACTTACACATAATGGCCATGTATAAAATTTTGAGCTTTTCTTTTCTCATCACTTGGCGTCCGTCGTCGTTGTCATTAACTTTTACAAAAATCTTTTTCCCTGAAATTACTGATCCAAATTTAACCAAACTTGGCCACAATCATCATTAGGGTATCTAGTTTAAAAAATATGTCTGATGACCACGCCTGACAACCAAGATGGCCAACATGGCTACAAATAGAACATAGGGGTAAAATGCAAGGTTTGTCTATTATCTTGAAAACCACTATAAATAGAGAAAATCTGACAGGGGCAGAAATGTTTAGAATGATGAGATTTACCTATTGTCCATTAACTTCCAAAATGTCAGAGGACTTTTTAATAGGAGTTATTGCCCTTAAATGAAGAATTTTACCAATTTTTTAAATGTTTGCCTATTATTTTGAAAATTATAATAGATAGAGATAAACTTTATATAGCAAAAATGATCAGCAAGATAAGTTCTGCAAATAATTTGGGATGTTTGAAATCGTATGATGACCCCTTTTTGAAGTTATTGCCTTTTAGTGAAGATTTTTACTAATTTTTTTGCGTTTTTGCCTAATATCTGAAAAAGTATAATACATAGAAAGAAACTTAAATAGGCAAAAATTATCAACAAGACAAGATCTACAAATAAGTTGAATAGTTGAAATCGTCTGACGACCTCTTATTGAAGTTATTGCCAGTTAATGACGGTTCTATCCAATTTTTTTGCATTTTTGCCTTATATCTGAAAAACTAAAATAGATAGATATAGAAACTTGAATAAGCAAAAATAATCAGCAATTCAAGATCTTCAATATGTCAACATGGTTTAAAATGTCTGATGACCCCTTCTTGGAGTTGTTCTCTTTAATGACGATTTTTATCATTTTTTTTGCGTAGTTGCCTACTATGTGAAAAAAACTATATTAGATAGACAGAAACTTGAATAAGCAAAAATGATCAGCAAGGCTAGATCAACAAAGAAGAGATTTTTGTCATGATTTCTTTTCTAGTCCACAAAGATGGAGAGTATACATTGTTGAAGATGCACTTAAACCTTGTGAGCGACACTGAGGCTCTTTAGAGCCTCTAGTTAATAATTATTTGGAATAAACTTTATGTGAGCATGCTATGAGTTTTGACATCCATCAATCATCAAATTCCTATTTACCAAATACTTATAGTGGGGTATCATTAGGCATAGCTCACAGATTCAACTTGTTTTGATAATGTAGCTTGTTTTTACAGTAATAAAGCTTGCTTACATAATAAAATGGCTGATTTTGAAAATAGATCCTCAAGAAAAAAAACCAAGATAATTTATTTTAATTCATGTATTATAACAAGGCATTGTTTCTCAAATACATTACAGTACAAAAACTCTTTTCTATACAAATAATATCTTATTTTAAACATTGTTAAAGTAAAGTTCATGTAATCTGACATCAACCATTGAAAGATAGACAACATATTGACCCATTCCACCATTGATCTTGTAGATAGATAAGACAAATATTGACCAATTCCAAAGTCAAACATTTTCTTTAGTTTCTCAATGAAAGAGCCATATATCTTGTTCCAAGTCTGATTAACTACATTGTTTTTTATCCGTCAATAATTTCTTTGACTATATAAATGGTATAATGGACGTACCCATTATACATGTTATTAGACTTCAGTTTATTCTGCTTGGGATGAGAGAGATGTTTGTTTTCATTTGTGTCTAATGGAGAGGAAGGGTTGTTAACACATAAACATGTTACATCAAATCCCTACATGCACTTGGCAAAGCCTAAACCAAAGGAAAAGTACTGTTCCAATACTTTGATTTTTTCTTATAAACACTGAGCTTAGATTATTTTGTCAGTGTCTTGATAACAGGTGGGATATACTTTGCAAGACATCATGTGGAAACAATTATAAGGTACCTATCTTAGATGGATAATGTAAATTTTTTGTTGATTTTTTAAAATTTATTGCATTGCATGATTGCTGTTACGTGACCAGTGTTCTAGTATTGCTGTTATGTGACCAGTGTTCTAGGATTGCTGTTACGTGACCAGTGTTCTAGGATTGCTGTTACGTGACCAGTGTTCTAGTTTGGGGGCTGTTTAAGTACTCATAAAAATGTTTAACCCTGCCAAATAGTCAAGGGGTTGTCATTTTTTCATATAATATATGTGTATTTTATGTATTATTGACTTGGAACTAAGTTTTTGTTTGTCTCCTTTAAATTTTCATATTTAATTTACCTGAAACCCTCTTTCTCCTACCAATCTATTGATGTTTGTCCATTATTGAAACTCAGCACAATAACCTGCAGATGTGTAGTAATTCATTAATAAGGTCTTGGTTCATTGGTGTTTCTCGTTTTTTATATAGATTAGACTGGTGGTTTTCCTGTTTGAATTGTTTTACACTAGTCATTTTGGGGCCCTTTATAGCTTGCTATTCGGTGTGAGCCAAGGCTCTGTGTTGAAGGCCGTATTTTGACCTATAATTGTTAACTTTTTATACATTGTGACTTGGATGGAGAGTTGTCTCATTGGCACTTAAACCACATCTTCTTATTTATCTTGATATTTAAGTGTGATAGCAGAAAGAATTTAGAAAATAATTCTCTCTTTCTTACTTTCCCATTGATAAATGAGCTGCATCAGATAGAAATCAACATTATGCGAATGAATATCAAAACATCTGTTAATATATTCTGGGTTGAAATAATCTACGAAAAGTGTGTAACTGTTTGAAAATTAAGTTGTTATAAAAACCCTACAAAACAGACCAAAATTCCTCTTTTATTTCGTATTTAAATAATCCAAAATCTATCAAAGTCTTATACATACATGCACTTGCATAAGGTCGATTTATATCTGATGCAGCTCAAATTAAGAAATTACTAAGAAACTAAGGTTTGAACTCCCTCAGGCATAGTTTACCTTGTATGGATTTGGCTATTATTTTTATGTCCCTTTGTAGCTCCTAACATTTCTACACATTTATACATCCTTGTCTTTCAAATGTCTTGGTTAGAGCATTCCGGATGAATCTAAATTCAGGATTTATAAAGCGTTATTTTCATTTAAGGCATCTTTTCTTTCCTCCATTTTTCAGGTAAAAGATTTGGAGGGAAAGAAACTAGAAGCAGAACATGAAGCAAAGACAGCAGCAGATAAGGTAATGATAAAGGAATATGACATTTAAAATAAAAAAAATACAAAATTAACTGGAAATGCAGAGGAAAAAGTTGAACCTAAACAGAAGGGGCCTGGTAGAGTAAGTTGTCTAAGGCACTAAAAATGTCCTTAGCTGTTTAATTTTCATGGCATTACATAACATATCTCTGTAAATAAGGTTCTTTACAATAATAAATATTGAGCACTCACAAACATGTTTAACCCCGCCACATTCTTTATGTGCCTGTCCGAAGTCAGGAACCTGTAGTTCAGTGGTTGTCGTTTGTTCATGTCTATCATATTTGTTTTTCGTAAATTGTTTTGTTATAAATTAAGCCGTTAGTTTTCTCTATTGAATTGTTTCATATTTTTCATGTCAGGGCCTTTTAGAGCCGACTATACAGTATGGGTTTTTCTCATTGCTGAGGGCAGGTTGCCTATAATTGCTTACATCCACTTCATTTGAACTTGGGTGGATAGTTGTCTCATTGGCAATCATACCACATCTCCTTATTTTTATACGACCGCAAAAAAAATTTTGTGGTCGTATATTGGTATGACGTTGGCGTCGTCGTTGTCGTCGTCGTCCTGCGTCGTCCGAAGACACATTGGTTTTCGCACTCTAACTTTAGTTTAAGTGAATGGATCTCTATGAAATTTTACCACAAGGTTCAATACCACAAAAGGAAGGTTGGGATTGATTTTTGGGGTTATGGTACCAACAGTAAATGAATAAGGGGCCAAAAAGGGGCCAAAAATAAGCATTTTTGTAACTTCAAGACATAACTTGTGTGTTAGTGTATGGATCTCTCTGACATTGTACCACAAGGTTCCATATCACAAAAGGAATGCTGGGATTGATTTTGGGGGTAATTGCCTCAAAATTTTAGGAATTAGGGGCCAAAAAAGGGGCAAAAAACAAGCATTTTTCTAGTTTCATGACAATAACTTGTGTGTAAGTGTATGGATCTTTCTGAAATTGTACTAAAAGGTTCCATATCACAAAGGGAAAGCTGGAATTGAGTTTGGGGGTAATTGCCGAAACGTTTAGGAATTGGGGGCCAAAAAGGGGCCAAAAATAAGCATTTTTCTAGTTTCCAGACAATAACTTGTGTTCAAGTGTATGGATCTCTCTGAAATTGTACTGCATGGTACCATACCACAAAGGGAAGGCTGGGATTGATGATGGGGGTAATTGCCTCAATATTTTAGGAATTAGGGGCAAAAAAGGGGCAAAAAACAAGCATTTTTCTAGTTTCAGGACAATAACTTGTGTGTAAGTGTATGGATCTTTCTGAAATTGTACTACAAGGTTCCATATTACAAAGGGAAAGCTGGGTTTGAGTTTGGGGGTAATTGCCCTAAACGTTTAGGAATTTGGGGCCAAAAAGGGGCCAAAAAACACATTTTTCTAGTTTCCAGACAATAACTTGTGTTCAAGTGTATGGATCTCTCTGAAATTGTACTGCAAGGTACCATACCACAAAGGGAAGGCTGGGATTGAGTTTGGGGGTGATGAATCATAAGGGGGTTCAAAAAATTTGGGGGGGGGGATTTTTTTTTTTCCTTTTTTTTCTTTTTTTTTCTTTTAAAATTTTCCATTTTAAGTTGGTTATTTCTGATTTATATTTAAAAGCAAATAATAATGATATGGTAGGAGATACACACCAAACAGGATGTGTAAATTATTATATAATAAGTATTGTGCAATAGCAAGAAATTTTCAATTGCACAGTATTGCACAATAGCAAGAAATCTTCAATTGCACAGTATTGCGCAATAGCAAGAAATCTTCAATCGACAGTATTGCGCAATAGCAAGAAATATCCAATAGCACAATATTGCGCAATAGCAAGAAATTGTCAATTGTACAGTATTGCGCAATAGCAAGAAATATTTAATTGCACAGTATTGTGCAAAAGAAGATACTTCGTATAAATTGCTTATTTCTTGACCAATTTCAATGGGGTTTTATTCTTGAATTCTTGGGGTTCTTATGCTGAATCTAACCGTGTATTTAGTTTTTGGATTTTGGGCCCCGTTTTTAAATTGGTCCAAAGGGTCCAAAATTAAACTTTGTTTGATTTCATCAAAAATTGAATTATTGGGGTTCTTTGATATGCCGAATCTAACCGTGTATTTAGATTCTTAATTTTTGGTTCCGTTTTCAAATTGGTCTACATTAAGGTCCAAAGGGTCCAAAATTAAACTTAGTTTGATTTTAACAAAAATTGAATTCTTAGGGTTCTTTGATATGCTGAATCTAAACATGTATTTAGATTTTTGATTATGGGCCCAGTTTTCAAGTTGGTCCAAATCGTGGTCCAAAATTAAACTTTGTTTGATTTCAACAAAAAATTGAATATATGGGGTTCTTTGATATGCTGAATCTAACCATGTATTTAGATTTTTGATCCCCGTTATCAACTTTGTCCACATTGAGGTCAAAAGGGTCCAAAATTAAACTTTGTTTGATTTCATCAAAAATTGAATTCTTGGGGTTCTTAGATATGCTGAATCTAACCATGTATTTAGATTTTGGATATTGGACCATAATAGGTGAATGTCCAATTTAAAATTTTTAAGTTCTTAGACCACATTCATTCTGTGTCAGAAACCTATGCTGTGTCAAATATTTAATCACAATCCAAATGCAAAGCTGTATCAAGCTTGAATGTTGTGTCCATACTTGCCCCAACTGTTCAGGGTTCGACCTCTGCAGTCGTGTCAAGCTGCACCCTGCAGAGCATTTTATTATATTATACCTGTAGCAAAGTTTGGTTTCAATCGACTTTGTGTTTTGTATAGGACAATTGTAATTGTTGTTATCAAATCTTAATGTGAAAAAAGTGAAATACGGAACATTCTTGCCAACCAGGTTCATATTGTAAACCAATTTTTCCATCCACATTCTTCTAATCCATATCTTTTTGTCTATTGTATTTTGGGGATAACCTTTATTTTTAGGTATCTTTCAAATTGGAACATTTTAATGTCAAGAAAGCCCTAGATGAGCTCAGGTTTAAAAAAAGATTAACCAAACTTTGCAGGAGTCTTCTACAAACCATTTTCATGTTATTCTGATTGGCTGAAAAATAGGCTAGCCACTGATCCAGAAAATTTGTATATACAGTTTAATATAAACCTTGGCACCTTTTGGTTACAGATTATTGTGGATCGTAGGTTGTGACCAAGGTTTTCCAAAAGCTTTTAGGTGCGAATAATGAATAGAATCATTGTTTTTTAACAATATCTCCAAACTATTCTGACTTTAGACCCTTATTAAATGTTCTGTAATGTAGAGATTTGTTTTACCTAGCAAGATGGCTTTTGATATAGATACAGTTAAGAACGGCCTTTTTGATATTTTATGATAAACTTGAAATTCAAGGCTATATGTTGCCAAACGTGAACCTTGTCTTTTAACCAAAGGTTTGAATGATGTATGAAAGGTCCTCTATGATGATTAGTTTAATACAATTCCCTGAAATGGTCAAAAAATTTTATGGAAAGCATAATTTATTTTCCGCTAAATAAAGATTATTCTTTTTTTTTTATTTATATATTTGCCAAGCACTATGGCCTGATTAGGCAGTATATTTTGTATTTTAGATCACAGATTTATATCAGTGTTATACATTTGTTGCAAATGAATAGAAAAATTTTAAAATTAAGTTTAAAAATATATTGCTTGAAGAGAAATATGTAATTTATTAAATTCAATTATTATGTCTGTCAACTGACATAAATAAATTCAGTAAATGCAGAATGAATAAGTAACAAGGTGCATTAAAGTGCACCTACTGAATAAAAACCGTCCTTGAAGACCTATAATTATAGAACAATGTCACATTGTTAATTATAAGTCTCTGGAGGTATACTACAAAGTGGGATGTCACCCAAAGATCACAGCAAAAATTTACAATTAAATACAAATATGCAACCTTTGACCTTGAATCTCTCAGCTGTAAACATACAGGCCTTTGTTTAATTTTTTCCTAATTTAATGAGCCCTTCTTCCATTAATTACGATATTTTTTTCTTGCAGTTGATAGTTGTTATGTAATCCTACTGTTATTGTATTGGGGTCTAGACTATCGATGTGTAATTTTTCATTTATTAAAATAACACATCTACAGCTATCGTTTTACAAAGCGGGTCCGTTTGCGATGTTTTGTCAGGAAGTTATACAAAAATGTTCAGCCCACAAGATAGGAGTGCCTTCTTTTACAGAATTAATAAGGTAACATTTTTTGGTTGAATTATTACTAGGAATAGTTGTCAGCTGGTGACTGTGGTTAAAATTTACATTTTATTGTTTTTATAATGTAATGATTTAATGGTATATATTTTTAGTTTTGGTTGTCATTAAAGATTTTTTTTTATTTTCAGAAAAGTTTTTATGTTCAGATAAGCTTGTAAAAATTATGAACCAGAGTGTAGAATAGGATTGGGTTAAATAAGTGTTTTTCATTTTTTTAAACCAAAAGATTTTTTTTAGGGGATATTTTTATGTAAGAATACATAAGTCAGGAATCTGATGTTCAGTAGTTGTCGTTTGTTGATGTGGTTCATAAGTGTTTCTCCTTTCTCGTTTTTTATATAGATTAGACCGTTGGTTTTCCTGTTTGAATGGTTTTACACTAGTAATTTTTGGGGCCCTTTATAGCTTGCTGTTCGGTGTGAGCCAAGGCTCCGTGTTGAAGACCGTACTTTGACCTATAATGGTTTACTTTTATAAATTGTGACTTGGATGGAGAGTTGTCTCATTGGCACTCATACCACATCTTCTTATATCTATTATTAGTCGTACGGTACTAATTTTCATAGGTAAAGGTGAACTGTTAATGTAATGTTTTCACAATTTCTATAGCCTTGTATGCAGACTTTAGCAAAACCATTAATTCAAGAATCCACCAAAATATGATTTCCCCCAAATCCACAAAAATTGGTACCCACGAAAATAAATGAATCCACGGTATAAGCATTAAAACAAAAAAT